TCGGCCGGCGAACAGATCAACAGCCACCTGATCAACAACCAATGCACTTAACTCTCTCACCCGCTACGTACATTTCAAGATAGAGCGAATCTGAATGGATTCGTTCGTATGAATAATACTTGGAAATCTCAACACGACCAGTAAAAGGACGGCACACACGTAAATGTATACCCAGTGTTTAGCCAACTGGTTCTGTGTCGTGATCTTCTTTTGTCCGCCGTCAAATGCGACTATGCCAACTATATGGCGTACGATCCGGTACCTACACACACTGAGGTAAACTTTGTAGGTTGGACATGAACGTGCATGTTAAGAGTGGAGTACCAGCCCTTTACAGTCACTCGGAATAAGACAGGAAAGGGGTTCTATATCAAAACTACAGATTTTTCTTGGTAAGTTGGTCATTACTTTTTATTTTTTCTTCCAGCGAAACCCAAAAGACAGAGGAGTACGTACCTACTCACTGTGCATTTAAGTAGTGAAATGTAAAATACTTTATTGTTATAACATAAAAGTCGTTCCAAATTCTATCCAATCAGCCAAAACAGGAAACTAGCATTGCTTCACCATTCGAGTATTATAAACTTGCATCATCTGCCATCCACTGTTGTCGTCATCCGTTTTGATGTTGGTCATTCCTATGCGCATCACAGTACTTTTTTGAAAAAAATTGCCTGACTCAGACTGTCATGATTCTAAGAAGAGAAGACCGAGATTTTTGTTCGTGTACTATGGAAAGCACATTGCGTTGTCCGAAAGTATCCACCGATTTCCAGTACACTTTTCACAATGACGGTGAACTTTTCCTTTCGATTTACATAATATTTATCTTAAGCCTCAGTTATCACAAAGAGATATTTCAGGGGTGGGGGCACATATGTTCGCTCTTTTCGCGCAAATGTTACCATGTGTATTAGCTGTCGCGTAAATTAGACGTCCAGGCTTGTTCGGTGTTTTACTTTACAACTGTCAGCGTGTGCGCGCATACACGCGCGGGGCCTTTCTCTACTCGCCTAATCACTCCACCCTCTTTTGTGCTGCTCAAACAAGAGCCTATCGATTGTGAACCACACAGGCAAACAATCGAACAACCCCGATCTAACCGGTCCGATTTGCCAACCATGGTTTTTATTTTACGAGAAAATCAGATATTTTCAAATGAAATTTCACTCTATTCTGTGCAGAAACAATGTACAAAATCTCAAAGTGTAGCCTTCTTATGGAACATTGGCCATTTCTTCGTCGAAATCCTCACTCAGAGAGCCGGTCCACTTGAAGTAAAATGTAGTACTGAAGGATGGTAGGGCTATATTACGTTGAGATGATGATCAACAGCTCCTTCTGAATACTGCGGTGTCCAGCTACTGGGCCAGAGGTCTCGGGTTCGAGGTTCCTCGTATATTTGTGAAATGCGTACTGTTGATGACAACACCAAGGACGAAACAGCCGCATAATGCCCTCAGCCTCCCGAAACTCAATGTTTTTACTCGTGGCGTAAAATTTTGATCGTACTCAAATGCATTGAATACGGCTTCATCCCCAATGGCTTGTTTTCCGCCGCAGTGATACTGAACTGTTCTTAATTCGCATTCATGGTACATGTTTGATGTATCGTTTAGGTGTTCTCTGTTTAGCCCGACAACTTTGAGTGATTGCGTCTTTTCACATGCCATCAGGCCATTTCGTCTACACTAGTGCCACAAGAATTCACGGTCCA